AAGAAAAAAACTGAGGTTGGATTTTGAAAACTTTGGTTCAAATCCCAACTCTGCTACCCACTAGACTGTGTGAATTCCTTGGATCTCAAGTTTTTGGTCTGTAGTATGGAGGGTCTAGGCTAGAATGAGCTCTAAAGTCATGGTCATAAATCCATGAGATCCTCAGTTGAAAAGGATCTTAGAGATTCCAGATCAACCCACCTTGTGAGGGCTAAGTCCATGACCCAGTTGCTATGGTCAGAATTCAATAAAGTATTTGCAGAGAGGAAAAAAAAAAATGTCTATTGACTTAAGTTTCCCAAATCCCCCAAGTCATTTCCCCATTAAATGTGCTTTTTAACAACAGTTTTGAACTTTGTACTTTGCTAAAGGCTGAGAAAGAATCTAGCTTTCCTTTGAACCTAGACATTGCTATTTGGGGGATATTTCCTTTTACTCTAACTCCCTCATTTTGTTTTATTCATTAAAAAAAAAATCTGAACTTAAGAAACACCAAACAAAATGAGCATTGCCACATGCAAAGTAGAAAGAAAGGATCATATGTGAGGCTGTGAATCTCTATTGCCCTAAATCTTGATTTCCATTTTAAATCTATAATAAATTCAACATGGAACTTTGAAAGTGTCTTGCTTGTCTGTGTTTCCCTCTGGCTACCTTTCTTCCTTCTGTTCTCTTCTGTGTATTAAAAGATGTTTCAATGACTCATTTTTCTTTTTCTTCTCTTTCTTTCTCTCTCTCCCGTTGGTCTCTCTTTTTGGCAAACCCAATGCTATTCCCCCTTCTCCTTCCCTTGAAAAAGAAAACAGAAAAACCATATGCATAGCCAAGCAAAGCACATATGGGGATGGGGGAGGGGATCTTTTCATTAAGATGAGGAATTAACTAGAGAAATAGTCAAATCTCTAAGCTCCCAAATAACACAAAGGAGGACCATTTATGCCCTGCCCTGCTTCCTTTAATGGCTCTTGCTTGAGTTTGTGAATCGCAGAATCTTAGGGCTGGTGGGGACCTTGAGACATGACATTGCCTCCTCCTCCTTTTAGAAGGGAAGGCAGAAATGCATCCACCCCCAGCTTTGATGTGGTTGCCGTAGGCAAGCTCCATCCCATCATCCTCATACCTAGGCTATTTGTCACAGGCACCCTCACTGGGGTAGATGCAAAATATTTTCTGACTCATTAGCCAAATTGTTCCATGCTCCATTTAATGTAGCAGGGTAACACGGAAAAGGGGCCAGGTCCAACTGGGGGACCACACCACACACTGGCTGTAGGCGCTGGCATCTCCTTGCCTGGAGCTGTAGTTCACCAAAGATCTGAAGAAGTTAATGGGGCTTCCTGAAGTGTTTGACATCTGGGGAGTCACACATTAACCCCAGAATTGGGTAAAATCTGTCTCAGCAGAAAGTCTGAAGATGAAGATCTCTAAATTTACATTCCCTGAGTGAGTTTCATTTTATTCTAATAATCCATACCTGTTATTTCATTGATGTAAGGAAACTCTCAGGGGTGGGGTAAATTCATCCGCAAATGCAGATGGACAGCTAACTCATCTTGAGTTTATAGTAGTTGTCTGAGAGGTCAACTTACCTGCCACAGTCACACGTGATGTATGTGTCCAGACCAACCGTGGCGTCTATTTTGTATCATAGATTGTAAAAGTAGCGTGACAGTCTATCAATTCATCAATAAGCATTTGTTAAGTGTGTACTATGTGCCAGTGGGGCATCTATCTGGGTGGTGCAGTGGATACCGCAATGGACCTGGAGTCAGAAAGACTTCTCTTTCTGAGTTCAAATCTGGCCTCAAACACTGCCTAGTTTGGTGACCCTGGGCAAGTCACTTCACCCTGTTTGCCTCAGTTTCCTCATCTGCAAAATGAGCTGGAGAAGGAAATGGCAAACCACTCCAGTATCTCTGCCAAGAAAACCTCAAATGGGGTCACGAAGAGCTGGACGTGACTGAAACGACTAAATAACCTGTGCCAGGTATTGTTCCAAAGACAAAAAGAAGGACCCTGCCTATCATAATAGGACTGTAGCTATCACCATCATCATTAATATTACAGAGTAAACTAGACTGATAGCCATTTGAGTTGGGAGAACGGGACAGATGTGACATGCCACCTTGAAGCTGAGTCTCGGAAACAATAAGTAATAGGAACCAGAACCCTGAATTTTAACATGTATGTCCATGTATGTATGTGAGTGTGATGAATGTGTGTACACATGTGTGTGATAGAATGTTTAAAAATCTTAGTTCAGATGCCAGCTTCCATATGAATAAAGCCTCTCCTGATCTCCCAGCTGGTGGTATTTTTATTTTAAGCTTTAATAGATTAAATTTTAAGCTTTAATAGATTAAAATTAAGGATGTGATAGGTCCTTAATAAATGCTTGTTGACATATAACATGTAACAGAACATAACATATAACACATGTGTATCTGTATGTGAAAATATGTATCTATGCAATCATGCATATGCAAGTGCATATTTTATATATGTATATATGCACACATTTATATGTATATATACATACATATACATACACATGTGTGCATATACACATAAATATACAAACCCATATATCCCTTTTAAAATTGCCTTACTGCTGTGACATTTTTGACTTGATCCTATTTTTCAAAGAACTTTTAAACAATTTTAAAGAATTTAAGCAATTTCATCTTTCCTTAAGGCCAAAAGATGATGAGAATAAAACTAATGGCTTAGCAAGATCTCCTGTTTTCTGAATCAACTATGCTGGGTGATGACAGACTGTTGGAATGAAATTCAGAGAGATCACTTGGTTTAACTCCCACACTCATCCTACACATGAGGAAACTGAGGCCCACAGTAGGGAGGTGATTTAAAGTTTTTTGTTTTGTTTTATAATTTATTATGAATTTGAATTATCTTAAAGTGTGTCTAAAATGGATGTAGGCAATAACTGGGCCTTAATAAATGAGACCCGAGGG